GGGTGAGGACGTGTGTCTGTGCGGTATCCTCAGGCAGCACCAGGGACTTCCAGGCTGGGGTCTTCCGAGGCTGCAGTGTGGTCTTTGGACCTCTCCTTGTGGCATAGCAAGGTCAGTTTCCACCAAGCCGATTCCCAAACACCAGCCGGCCTGCAGGGCTGACCAAAGACCCTCAGCACCCCTGCYGTGTCCCTCTGGGAGGTGTCATCAGGAAGCCGGGTACCCCTCTCCTCTGGCTCCTCSGGGGACACACAAGAGAGGGCGGGGTCGGGTCTTGCTTGGGATCAGTCCAAATCGCAGGAACTTCTCTGGCTCCTCCCCCTTCCCTCTCCTCCAAGCCAGAAGAGCCTTTGCAGTTCCCAGGACCTGCCAKGATCGCCCTCATCTGCACCCTCCCCTGTAAGATTCCTCCCCCAGGTTCCCCCAGGCAAATGTCTCCCTCTTCCTTCCTCCAGGTGCCACCTGAAATGCTTCCTCCCCMAGGCAGCCTTCCCTGGCCATCCTCTCCAGCCCAGTGCTGGGGGTCGGGGTGCATTTGCTCCCAGGGCCTCTCGCTGCCTCCCCTGGCCGAGCGCCGCTCCCCATTGGCTCCCATGCACTGTGCAGCCAGCTCTGTGACTGGCAGGCAGCTGGTGTGGGTTTCCTAGAGCCGCACAGACCGAGGGACAGACATGCATTGACCCGCGGTTCTGGAGGCTGGAAGTCCCCGGTGAAGGTGTGGCAGGGCTGGCTCCTCCTGAGGCCACTCTGCTTGTCTTGCAGATGCTGCTTGTCCCTGTGTCCTCAGTCAGGCTGGATTGTGGCCCACCCTGCAGCCTCATTTTCCCTTAAAGACCTCTTTAAAGACCTTTCCTCCAAGTGCAGTCACATTCCCAGGTGGTGCTGGGGGTCAGGACTCCRATGTGTACAGCCCAGAGCAGTGGGTGTCAGCGTTAACTGCAAATGCACACGAACCCAGGGAGCATCCATATTCCTGGATGCCTGGCAGACTGTTACTGTTCCAAGAATTCTCTGCCCCTCCCTGTGTGAGGAGTCCCCGCAGGTGCCCTCTTGGTCAGGTGACTTGCTCTGGTCAATGAGATGGGGAGGAACTGGAGCCTCCGCCCTCCAGCTGAGCGTTAGGACCTCTGGGCAGCCAGGCATCGCTGCTCCTGTGAGCCTGGCATATCCGCAGCTCAGTTGTCTCAAATAGTTCCAGTTTTTCAGCATCTCCTCTTTCCAGAAACTTCACTTCAGAGTTGAAGCCAACKAATGAAGGAATTGTGTGTCAGGTGCTGAGAGGAAACCTGCGCACACCTATAATCCCAGTGGCTGCGGAGGCTGAAGCAGGAGGATCTCGAGTTCAAAGCCAGCCTCAGCAAAAGTGAGGCACTTAGCCACTCAGTGAGACCCTGTCTCTAAATAAAATACAAAATAGGGCTGGGGATGTGGCTCCRTGGCTGAGGGCCTGAGTTCATTCCCTGGTACTTCCCTCCCCCACCAAAAGAAAGGTGCTGAGATGTGGCATCATTTGTTACTGCAGCAAAACTTAGCCCAAGGTACCAATATAAGCTTCTGCTGAGCCGAGGCTTAAAGGCCCAGCCCAAGACCAGGGTGAGCGCTCAGTGCCTGGCTGGGGCCAAGGTTCAGCCTGGGGCTAAAGGACACAGCACCCAGGAACTCCAAGAACAAGTCCAGGATCTCAGCTTCACCAACACCCCACTACCCCGTCCTCCCTCTCATGGGAGAGCCAGGGGGAAGGGCAGAAGCCCCCCCATGGWGGCCCCATTGCTTCCCCAGCCCCTTCCCAGCTTCATGGCCCTCACACAAGAGAACTCGTGACACCAGGCCCCTATAGTGTAGCCTGCACCTGGCCAGGTGTGCACAGGTGCTGTGTGGACACTGGCTTCCCTGCGATTGTGGAGAGAAGCCAGGCTATGCCAGGCTCTCCCCAGTCACCAGAGTGACCGTTCCCAGGGTGGCCTTGCACGTAGGTGCCTCTTCGCTCTGTGCCCTTGGAAAGGTGATTCCATCTCTCCCTGGCTCAGAGGTGCCGCCAGGCTCAGAATGTTACAGCTCATTTTACAGGGGCAGGGGTGGCCCTAGAACTTCCTGGGGTCTTGGTTACTGTGACCTGAAAGTGGCTGTAAGATCAAAGAGGACAATGTGCCCACAGTGCTGACTGTCATGGAACCAGGTCAGGTGACACAGGTGACACGGGGGGCTGCCTCCCTTATTAATGGGCCATATTTGGAATTATTTACTATTTTTCTCCAAATCCACTCACAGTCCATGGTCCCCCAGCCCTGGCTGCCCTGGTCAGTCCTTCTCTTCTGCTAGGTCAGGGTTAAGTTATTCCAGAAGCTGAAGGAGATTTACCCAAAAAAAAAAAAGCAACTTTCTGGATCTTGAACTTCAAGTCTATTTTGAGATTCTGAATCTTGACTCAATGAGCATAACAAATTTAAACCCTGAAGGACTTCACTAAAAATCCAGCATAGGGATAATGATGGCCGGGAGGCGGGGAAGGGGACCGGAGCCCATCAGCAGGTTGAGTTTCAGTTCTGCAGAGTGAGTCACCGCGCCACTGACCCTGCCCATACACGGAACGCATCTGAACCGAGCTCTTACAAATGGAGAGATGGTAAATTGCATGTTGTGTGTATGTCCCTGCAGTTTTAAAAGTCAAGCCTATTAAATTTTTAGAAAAAAGAAGTCTGATCGTAAATAATGGATGTGCAAGAACATCCATCGGTTCACACTTTTGCAACAAAAGTAAACAGGCCTATTCAATGTGGAGGAGAACGGTTGAAAGGGAGAGAATAGAGTCATACTCGGGTGGTCTGGAGATGGATCCCTACACCTTACTAGCCCACCCACAACCCAGAGAGCTTCAAGGCAATATAAGAAAACAGGATTCCTTATGCCTCCCGGAGTCCGGGTGCAGCAAGTTCTGCCAAGTTCTTCCCCACATTGCATATGGCGGCTGCATTGAATGGAGCCCGGGTACTAACTGGAGTGCAGCAGATCTCTTCATGGCAACAACCCACCACCCACCAAAACTTCCCGTATCCCTAGAGACTGATGGTTTCCAAAGCTCCTGGAATTCTCTGGCCACCAGAGCAGCCTGAAGCCATGTGGACGGAGTTGGTGGATCAGTACCTCAGCTTCCTCACTCTTAAACTCCAACCCCATCTCCCATCAGGAACAGGTCCAGTGGCCCTGGGATGTCCCCTATCTTGGTTCCGTCCCTTTCCCATCTTTATTCTTTACTCCTTTCCAGCTCCTTCCTGGGATCATCTGCCAGATAAAACTGTGTGCCCTCAAATCCTTATCTTGGGGTCTGCCTCTGGAAGGGGGCACCCTAAGGCAGTAACCAGGTAACTATCATCCAAACCAGGACACCTTGGAAAACCAAAAGCATCGTGATTCATAACTGCACCAGGATCCCGGCCCCCAGGAAAACCAGGATGTACCACCGTCCCAACCCCACGTGAAAGGAAAACCACCAAGTGTCTTGCGTGTGCAGGGAGAGGTGTGGAAGATGTCCGGCAGGTGACAGGGGACAGAAGAAAGCCAGCAGTGTCCCCAGCATCCCAGGGCCAAACCCTGGGAATGTAAACATGATCTGACGGAGAGCGGACATTTCTCCTGCTCAGCAAAGTTAGAAGGTGGGGGAGGGAGAACAAAGCGCGTGAATGGTACATCCTGAGATCCCGACTCCAGGTAACAGGAACCGTCTCCCCTTCAAGTCTGAGAGGGAGGGTGGAGGCGGACTTGGGCACGCGCGCCCTCCCATCTCCCCGTCCAGCCCCCGGGCACACACCAGCTCTGCATTCATCATTTTATTAAAAGCAGTTGCCTCGAGCCCCGCCTTTCAGGGGGACCCAAGAGGCAGTCGGCGAGTTATAAATTAACCATAGCAGGGCACCATCCCGGGAGTCCTGCCAACTGGATGCTGGCCCTGGACAGTCCATCTAGACTCTCCGCCCACTGGGACCTGTCACAGCCCGTGGTCCTGCTTGCGGCTCATCCTGGGCTCAGAGCCTGGAGTGTCTCCCCTCTCTGCCAGCGCACCGGGCTCAGCAGTATTCAGAGTAATCTTCCTCTACATAGTTGGAAGGGAACCAGCCGACCTGGAAAGAGACCAGGAATCCGTCAGAGCAGCCTCTGCCTTCTCCGCCTGCCCCTCACCACACTAGGCAGGCTCCCTCCTGCCTCAGGACCATGGCACCTGCTCTTACTTCTACCCCAGAAAATACACCATCCAAATATACACAGGGGTGACCCCCCCTTACCTTCTAGAAGTCCCTGCTCATGCCACCCTATCAGTAAAGCCTTCTTCCTGGTCACCCTATTCAAATGTGAAATCTCTACCGCCCCCCAGTTCTCTCTTCCCCTGCTTTCCAGTCGCCCACTCACTTATCACCTTCCAACTGATTACATATTTTACTTATTTGTGGGCTTGCTCTTGACCCCACTCTCCCAGGACACAAGCTCTACCAGGGCAGGGGATTGTGTCTGAATCCCAAGAATYTGTAATGGCTCCTGGCACACAATTCATATTTGTTAAATATTTGTTGGATGGATGGACGGTGGAAGCATGGGGTGGGTGGGTAAATGCTTGAGTAGAGATGGATGAATGGATGTGTGCAGATGTGTGGATTGTGGAGATGGATGGATGGGTGCTAAATGGGTGGGTAAATGGATGGGTAGATGGGTAGATGGATGGATGGGTGGGTGGGTGGATGATGTTAAATGGGTGGGTAAATGGATGGGTGGATGGATGGATGGGTGGGTGGATGGATGGGTAGATGGGTGGATGGATGGGTGGGTGGATGGATGGGTGGATGGATGGGTG